AAAAAAAACAAACAAACAGGTGATTGAAAAAAACCCAACCCAAATCCGACCCCATTTCAACCAAAAAAAAAAGAAAAAAAGAAAACGGAGTTTGCCCAAACGGGTTATTGAAAAAAAAAACCCAAACCCAAACCCCTCCTCGTATAAAACCTCAGCCTCCGTCTTTAGGGTTCCGCTATTCGACGCCTCCTCTCATTTCTCCTCAAGCCTGGTTTCTGTCTTCGTCGCCTCCTCCCTTTCTTCTCGCCGCTATTCTCTAGGGTTTCCGCCTCCTCCCTTTCTTCTCGCCGCCATTCTTCGTCGCCTCCTCCTTTTCTTCTCGTCGCCTCCAGGAACGCAGATCTCGTTCGAGGGATCGTCAAGTTCTCCCGCTCGAGAATCCGCCCAAGTTTTACCTCGCTGACGACGTGAAGACTCCCACCCCCACCCGCCGCAAGCCCAAGCCCACCAAGCTCAGGTATGGATTCTAGGGCTCCTGGGTTTAGAATTTTGTGTTGATTTTTTTTCCTTCGTTAAATTGCCGTGTCCCTGCCGTTTGGGTGCGGATCCGTACCCAGTACGTACCCGACACGGGTACGGGACCAATTTCGCCGTGTCGGGGTAACATAAGCTGAATATGTAAAGTACATGTTCTTTTAGAAATGAAGAGTTCCAAACTAAAGTTAGTAAAGAGTTTTGATTACAATTAATATGGGAGTTTAGAAACCCAAAAGCCATAAAAAATCCCTATTTATATTAGAAGAGCTCTATCTCTCTCTCTGATTCTTACGCATAAAAGAAAAATGAAATGATATAGATGTTGGGATCAGAGAGGAGAAGTTGCAGCTAAAGATATGGCTTTTTCTTGATTTTCTAGTTTAAGTTTGATATAGTATAAAATAATAGTACTTTTCTGGTCACCGGCATCACTCCGGCGATGTTCGGTGACCTCCGGTTAAGTTGTGGTTAACGGTCTCGCTGGAGATGGTAACCCGGTCACCAAATCTTAATCAAACAATTTGGATTTTGGGGTAGACAAGAAACAGACTCAATGAAGAAGAAAAGCAATTTTTTTCCTAAGCCTTTGGAATTTTTTTGAATTAGTTTTAAGTCCAAAAACTATGAAGGAATATTTCTACATGAAATCTATTTAATGGAAAGATTTTCCTTTTGACCCACTAAACTAGAAAAGTTGTTGTTAGGTCCAAGGTCTGTAAAAAAATAGAAATATATTTCAGAACCCCCCTACAAACTAGAAATATTAGTTTTATACCCAAAATAGTTTAAGTATAGAATCTTTAGTTTTTATGCATCTTGTATGATTATAGGTTTGATCGACTAGGTTATTGGAGTATGAATCTCCAAATTGTTGCAAAATCTCTTGAGGTGAGGAGAATTCTTCTCATTGGTTATTTTCTATTATATATTATTTAAATGATAATTTTGTTTTCATATAGAGAAATGATGGATCAGACATGCTATTCTGTTCATTTATAGTAACTTTTAGCAAATGTGAATGTAATAGCTATTTATCTTTTACAAGATACATATTATTAGTATATGAGATTAATGAAAATATATCATTTCAAATTTACTATTCAAATGCATTTATGAAAGAGTTCTATTTGACAAAAATAAATTATCTATTCGTTTAGATTCATGAATATTCTATTTTCATGAAATTAATATTAGAAAAGTTTGCAAATGTATTTAAGCATTTATAATGCTTTTCGTATAAGTGAAAATTGTGAGCTACTTTGAGCAAAAAGAAAAGTGTTTTAAATGTTAAAAATCCTCAGAAGTCCACTATGGAGTGAAGTGATTTGTTTAAGCTTACCATATGGTATTGAATGTACCGACCAGTGTTAGAGTGGCTTTTTTGGCAAAAATGAAGTGACCTTCGGGTAACCTATGATAGTGCTAGGTAAATTCTGTCTCCGAGTTAACTTATAGTGATTTGATGTGCATTCCCATGCTACTGGGCTATAATTTTTGTAGCCTTAGTGTGATAACCGAGGAAGCATTGCAATTGTGAATTTATATCGATAATTACAGTTTTAAAAGTATTTAGTGTTCATTCGTATTGTTTCATAAATTGTGAAGTCTTTTATCATATATGACATCTATTCTTGAAAATTCCTCTTATTCGAAATATTATGTGTTTCTGAATCCTCTTTTTGATGATAGCTCATTTAAATTTTAGTATTGATTAATTCTTAAATTTGTCTAATCCGCTAATGATAAGTTTTCTGCTCATTGAGTGTAAACTCACCCCGTTGTTTTTTGATCTTTTTTAGATAAAAATTAGATAGCTTTATCAAACCTCAGAGCTTTGGAACCTAAGAAGAATCTTTTAGAGTGTTTGATATTGAAGTTATAGTTATTCTAGTTATGCTACTATGCAGATGTAATAAGAGTTTTTTGACTCATTAGAGTGAACTTGTGATAATGTAGTTTTGCTCTGAGACTTCTTTATTTGTCAATAAAACTTCTTTTAAAATAAAGTTTATTGTAATATGGAAGTGCACCGTAGGCTTAGCATGTGCTTTGTGCATGTGTTGCCATTGTCATGCATCTTAAAATCAGTTGCACATTTTGGGGGCGTGACAGAATATCTAGTACTTTTTTTGATACCATATAATATGGTAATTCTCAAGATTTTATTGATCAAAATTGTGATATTTAGTGCTGTTATTATTGATACCATGTGGGAATTCTCCAGATTTATTGTAATTGTGATATATAGTATCAGCACTATTGACTCATACAGGATTCTCAAGATGTTATCGATCATATGACCGTAAGTGAAAAATAATGACTTAGTGCATCATCAACAAACACGTGCTTCTTGGACATACTATGGATAGTACAGTTATGGATTTTGTTTGGTAGTTACAAGTGACATCAATATACATGTGGGCATTACCTACCCAGGTATTGGACGTCTCTTAAATGTTTACATAGAAATGCTTTTTGGCGTTGGCTACACATGAAGTCATATTGTCAAAATTGTTTCCTTATCTGCATAGTAATATATTAAAGCTTACACATGAATTCTTTTGCAACATTGGTTATAAACTGAAAATATTATTGAATTTAGCCGGCATAACAAAAGTACATTGTGGTGAATTTTTATATGAAATGAAGCCCCTTTAAAGTTGTGGTATCTCAAAATGTACTTAAGGAAGCGAATCATGTTAAAGTGAAACCTTTCACCTCCTTAATAAGGTTAAACTATAATGAGCAATGTTTCTCATATTACTTTATGTTACAAAATTTATATTAGAATATAAATGCAAAGATATCTATTCATGGACCTTGTAAATTCCTAAATAACACGAGGGGCTGATGCAGCCTTCATGGTCAATGTCTCTGAAATTGCATACAATGAAAATTGCCTGTACATAAACTCTCTTTATTAGTAACAATTATTGTATAACACACAATCACACACATGTAACATCGCCATGTCCTCATTTCCTCCTTTATTGAAGAATTGACATGCCCTGTATCCGTGCTATGCACGTGTTTTGAGTCTAGGGAATAGTACGAATGCATTGTAGCTATATTGGGGCTAGATATAAACAAAGTCGCCCGGACACTACCAATTTGACTTTTTTACGTATCAAATGGATACTTAAAAGCTTAAGGACATTTAGGGCACTAGAACAATGTATCAACAGATTCAGTCTTAGATAATACTGCCTCTCAATTTCAATCGTATAAAATATTCTAATAACAAGCAGATCAAGTAAAGGTCACAATCAAGCTCGGGACGGGTGAACTATATTGATTTTCTAGAGGATGCACACACTTGCATGTACACCTATACACTATATCTGTGTCAAAATTTTTTGCAAGATATGTGTGCAGTCTATAAATTTAAACTGAACATAGTAAAAAAAAGAATTGAAAGTAATAATCTTCTGAACATATGCAAGCATGAAAAAGGTCAAATATTCTACTGACCATGGTGCATTCCCTACAAAGCAACTAAAGCCGAAGTAAGATATATCTTTTAGCAAGAGCCTAAATAATAAAAATATTCAAAATATTCAACCAACCTAACAAACCCATCTGAGCTATAGTTAACTAAATGATTGCAACTCTAGTTCTAACAAAAGAGGCCATCTGCATTCATATTCACAAAAAAGCAATCCTTAGTATCCCCAACAACATATGCTTATATCAAATTAATGTCTTCCAGGGATTCAGATCAAAACTTAACTATAGTGGACATTCTTGATAAGCTACGCTGCTACAGTGCTCAGCGACGACATATTACAATCTCTGGAAGATGGAGATATTCACAATTAGAAAGTATATAGTCTCCTTTGCCATGTCACGTTCCCCAGCATATTAAAAAATAACAACGATTGAATCTCCAAATAAGACAGGTCTGAAATATTGCCAATACCATTTGGGGAAAATCTTTGTCAGATTTCCCCAGTTCAGTAGCATCATTCAGCTACCCCACATCATCACCTCTGCCGTATATCATTGCAACAACTTATCTACAGTAATACCTCTTAACATTGGCTTTCATCCACCAATTCGCACCCAGCATTATCTAACATACCCCATCACCCAATTTATGCTACTGGTACTCATGTTTCCATCTGCATTTAACAAGAAGGTTTCTGAATGTTATACGGTGAAGACTCTTTCCACTATTACCATCGTCATTGTTGCCAATGAAATTATGACTATCAATCTTTAATACCCTTATCTCCAATATCAAACACTCGCAGAGATGCTGAGAGAGATATACAAAATCCAGGTCTAACTACAAGGTTGGTAGCAATGTGATACAAGTATCCAGCAAAACAAATGGCTTTGGTGATGAGTATAAAGATCGAATTCAAAGTAAGAAGCAGACCATTTAATATGAAGGAATATAAGCACTTGAAAACAAGCAATGTGGCCTTGACACATCATATAACAAATATTAGAGTAAAAAAAAATCAGAAAGTGGAAGCGGATTGTTGATAACAGAAGAATAGAAAGATCTTGGGACCTACCCTTAAACATTGTCTTCTTTGAAAATGCCACATTGAAGTACACACGCATAATGCAACTATTCTCTTCTTCAGCAATCTTCTCAACATCCCATATCCTCTACACATTGAAACAAACAGAACAAGAATATATTTGTGAACATTATTTGCTTTCAGAACATTCAATTCAAATTAAATTTAGAACCTTATATAAGAAGATAGTATGTTACAGGTATGAGGGGGGTTATTCATTGGGGTAAATTTGGGGATATTGGGATAATTTTTGGGACAACACCTTTCGGTGTTTCTTTAGACCCCACCCTCAAATTTGGCCCAAACTGCTTGCTAGAACAAGATGGGATATTTATGTCCCAGATCCCATCGCGTTCTCCTGCGGTCCTCGTGATCTCCTCAACCTTTTTCCTTCTCCATCTTGTCTCACCGTCCTCCAACCTTACTCTTGTTCTTCCTCTATCTCTTTTCAACTCCCCTTCTCGAGCTTCAATTTCAACGAGCACTGTCTGCAACAGTCTCGGCCTCCTCTTTCAAATCCATCCCTACAGCCACCCTAGCAACCTCCGACTCCTCACTGCAGCCACATCTTGCTGGAATCTTTCATCGTCGAGGTATGCTTGATTAAATTTTGGGAGACTTGATTTTCTTTTTGTGGCTCTGATTTCTTATTATTTTGTGATTTTTTGGGTAATATTGGGTTTCTAGTTCTTTTTTATGTCTATTGAATTTGCCTCTAATTAATGTGGTAGCCCTATGTGTTAGGCTTTGAACTTGTTTAAGTATGGATTAGCCTTATTATCTGGGTCTGTTTTAGTTCCATTTTTTTAACATTTTCAAAAATACAAGTTGGGCTTTTGCTTGTGTGTGACATATGATAGAAGAAAAAATATGCATAGAAGAGATATTACATGTTAGGCATTGCTTACGGTAATTTAAGTATGGATTAGATATAAATATGTATAAAAGAAATAATAACTGTTAGCCATTGTTTATGTGTAACATATGATTTCATGAGGTACTGCAGATACTGCTAAATGTTTGAAAACATTGTTTGATATTGCTTGGTTTCTAATTGAATCGGTTTCCTATGATGTAACCAACTATGAAGTTTGGATAGATTGAAGAACTTGTAAAATTGTTGAGTATTGAGGTATGTAGCAGATCATTTGAGATATCTTATCATTATTGATATTTGTGTTGTACTATAAATATTGGTTCTGAAACTCAAAATATAAAAGAGTACTCCCAACAGTGGATCACTATTTATCAAAATCTTTTTTTGCATCCTTTGTAACCGAATGGGTTGATTTTCAGAAGGGTATTTCGGTTACTTTACATTTTGAAACGGCATTAGTGGGGTTTAGTGATGTAAGTGTGAAAGATTAGGGGAGTCTTGTGAGACCCCCTAGTTGAGGGGGGCTTTCTCTAGTTTTCAAAGTTGAGTGAGGTTATTTATAACATTGTTTTAAATATCCCCAACATGACCAGATATATCACCTGATATATGCTTTTACAAGACTTGCTACAACCGATATGGTCTCTAAATATTATTTACCATTTTCTTGCTATTTTGGGTGATATATCCGTGATATGGATGATATAACCCCGATATGGTTGATATATTAGCTGATATGTTGGCCGATATATTTTTTATATGGCTTATTGCAAACAAAATACCACGTTTGTCAATTTTGGGGTGAGATATCATGATTTTCCCATTATATCAAATGAAATTTTGGCCTTAAAAATTAGATGAAATGTTACAACGTTGATTTGTACTTTTGTTTCTTTTACAAGGTTGATTAGTGATCCTAAACATCTATTATGACATTCTGATATTTACCACATATCTCCGATATTCACAATCTGATATGAATTTTAGCCATCCGATATTTTCTCGATTTACGATATTCAAAACATTGATTTATAAAATTCTAAACTTATTCAAATACAAAATAGAATTCTCAGATGCATCATATTATAGTTGCATTAGTCAAAAATTGACTGGTCCTATAATTAACTTGAGAAGAGCTACGTACCTTCAGAAAAACCATCCTCGGGATTCTTAGAGAGCGTAGACTCAGGAAATACATCTCCAGGCAACTGGTCATCAATCTGGGGAGAGCCATACATGAAGTAGAGCATAGGAGTGTCCACAAGCAAGCCTTCCTCGTCAAAATCATCAGTCGAGAAATCTGACACAAGAGAATATAAGTACGAAAAGAGGATAAAGAGACTACGACCAATAGAAATGAGTTACCTCTTATGGGTGCGTCAGCCTCTCTATTCCCAAGATCCACGTTTGCCTCCTGCAAATTATCTAAAAGAGCAAGAAGCATATAGATAATTAGGGAATGCACAAATTCCAAATCATTCAACTCCTTTGTGTATTGTTAATGATAGATGTACCTGGATTCATCGAACCGGGTCCTACATTGACGGTCTCCCTAATGTCACCAGCTTCTGCAGGCCTTTCTACCTGGTGCGGTGAGTCGGGCTCGCCAGAAGATGTAAAATCATGGAAAACAGGATCAGGACTCATCTCTCGCTCCCCATGCACTCCTATGTAGAGAATAGAAAAGCATGAGTCAAAGTTCTGAATGTTCAAGAGGTTGGTCTATAGGGTAGATGTTACCTATTTCTGAGACATTCACTATAGTTGAGGGGGTTTTTCTACAATTAACCTAACATGATACATGCAAAATTATACATGTGTTAAATTATACTTAACGTTGATGAATTAGTCTTCCTCTTAAAATACTACAAATGAATTGGTCAAATTTTTTGCTATTCATTGATTTGATATCCTATTGTTACTCATTTCTATAAAGAGGGGTTATTGGTTCGCCTATATCATTTTAAAATATTAATAGACCACAAAACACTATAAAAGACATGACATGCAAATATCTATAAAATTAAAAACTTTACTATTACAAAATATTCTTTGCAATCCGTAAAAAATAAACAAATCATTTGCACAAATTACCCGAAATATGACCTCAAATTCTCCCTGCTTTATATGATTTTTTTTCTAATAATTAGATTGAAATTCTAATGGCTTCTTAAGATTATTTTAGAAATAAATATGTGGATTCTTAAGATTATTTTATGAATATTTTAAAATCATATACACTTCTCTAATTAAGTTAAAATTCTAATGCAAGCATTACAAGATTGAGGTTTAAGCGCGAGATTATTTTAGATAATATCAATATGTGGAGGCCTTACATCTCATCTACCAGTAACATTTTATTTTATTGCTTCACGTTGTAGAGTTTAACCCAATTTACCTTGCAGTTCATACTACATCTAAAAAGCTTTTTTATAATTAAAAGTCAACATAAGATGACCTTACCGGCTAGCAAAATATCCATAGTTCCTACATCAACTAGATATTTCTGATGTTGCGACCATACAAGGAGCATCAAATTTCTTTATATATTTTTTACTTTTAAATATTATTCAAAAGGAGGGATATTACAATGGAGAGTTTGATGGTTAAACTATCTAATTTTGAATTTGAAATTTTAAAATAAAACCTATCTATGCGCTCATTCGGCAAGCCAACTTTTTTCTTTTCTCTTTTTATCTTAGAATATATAAATAAAGAGGTAAATAATAAAAGTAGGCTGGTGATTAAATTATCTGATTCTGACTTTTAATTTTTAAAATAAAAGTTATCTACCCCCTTATTATAAATTTATTATAGATTCAAAGTTCAAACTTTTTGACTAAAAAACTCTAGCTCAGATTCTCTAATTTTCAACAATCCATATGCTATAAGTTATTAGTATAAGTCATTTGTATGCTCATATCCACAAAAATTGAGGATATATAAAAAAGTAGAAAAGAAAGCAACAGCTCAAAAAAACTGTTAAACTCAATTTAGAAGCACACTCATATAACTAAAGAAAATAGAAAAGAAACAACATTTTGAAAAAAATTTTGTTCAGTTCAATTTAGAAGCGTATGCATATGATTAAAGAAAAAACTCATATAAATCAGATATAAAAAAAGACGCCCTAGCCTTCAAAGCTAATAATGCGGGTTCAGGTCCCACTACGTGCTCCATATTATTTATTCTATATGTAAGACTCACTCGTGCAAGCATGGCAAAAATACTTGTAAAGATAAGATTGATAGAGGTATAGCTCTAGGTCAAGTAAGCTCTGATCAAGCGCCAGGCTAGTTTCGAAAAGAGTTAAAAGAGAAAGATTGAAATAGTTGAATTATTATTAAAGAATAATTCCAGTTTGGTTGGGACCTAGTATCCCAAAGAATTACTTGTTCTGTTGAGGTGTGGGAAAATTTTAAGCAAGTTAGTTTATTAATTACCAATAAAACTTTTATGTAGATAATATATTGTTATGCTTGTTAATTACCAAAAATAGTAATATTAAATTCTATTTTTGTTTTTCGAGAGGCTCATCCTAACACGGCAAACTTTAAAGACAAATTGTTTAAAAACTTGGAAGATTTGCGCATGGTGGTGGGTAGCCACTTTGCAGCCGGGAGAGCTGCTGGAGGCTTGGGAGTTGAGGGTGTAAAGAATGCACCGTTACGTAATTCATTGGTGAGTGTATGATTGATAATGATATTGGCCTTGATGCTATGGGTGAAGAAGACCTCACCTAGCCACTTATAGATAAACAACCACATCCTCCTAGTAGCACTTCAAGCTTTGGCGCTCCCGTGGCTAGTCTATGCCATCGACATTTAGCATTAACAGAAATGTGCACCATCTTCTTGCACCAATGTCTCTATATAGTCTCAACCTATTGTGCAAGACATTGCACAAATGGGATTACAATCATAAACAAGGCTTTGCAAGAGTTAGTCGTAGAGGTCAAATTATGCAAGGCCGCAATTATCCGTTGGTTGAGGGAATGGCTTTGTTTCTGAGGTTTACCAATGAACAACGATTGACTGTCAGACAAAATGTTTCCCAAGATGTGAATATATCTTTATGAGGATGAATGATATTCAAATGCGAAAGTTCATGATTTGGAGGTTGAGTGGAGTATTTCCAAAAGAGGAAGAAGTTGACTATGCTTGATGACATCGCTTTGAGTATTACCCGTAGTTTGATGACTATGCTTTTGG